AAAGTGGCCATAAAACTTTTAGGCTCACTGTTGAATTAATACAGTTATACAATATTGAACTCAGTATAAGCCCTGAAAGACATAAAATGGAATGAGTTTTTAACCTTTAAAAAAGATCTCCATTTCATTTTAAAATACACTGTTTTTTACAGAAAGACTCATTGTTTTTGCTAATAACACTGTGATATTGGCGCATGTGTCTCTAATCTGTATGTATCTGATTATTTCTAGTCATAATCGGTTACACTAGGATCCTTGGCACCCATGTATGTCTTTAAAGTTATCGGGTAGATTTCAGTGGTAATGTTTATTACCTCTACTAATTAACATGCCAGAACATCCCAAACCATCTTATTCATCTATACACCCACTTCCCAGATGGCACCCTCCCATAAGCACCCCCCCCCGCCCACTAGAACCCTTATACTCTGTCGTCCCTGCTACTGTCCACTGTGTTGTTGGAACCCCCAGCCGTTCCCCACTACTTGTCCATCCACTGAATCTAGTCAGCCTAAATATTTAGAGGTCTTTGTTTTAGGAAGATCAGCTGATTCTCATCTAGCAGCAATCAGTTGTCAATATTCCTTTAGATAAGATTGGGGTTTTCTGTTCATTTTCCCAGTTCTACGCTGGGTTATAGTAATCTGGTAATCTGGGAGTCCCTTGGGCCACCCTGGCCAACAACTCAAAAGAAGACATCTTCTATTTGGCATTGTTCCTTGTTATGTAGCCTTTAGCTATGCATATGGACTCTTAAGAAATTATATTGGCCCCTTTAATCTTTAGTTATACTTTCCTTTTGGGTGTTTAAGGCCATACAATTGGCCCAGATAAACAAATTTAGTTTTACTCTTAAGGCTGTTTGAGGATCTGTTCTTCAGGGGTCACATGGGCTTGGGAGGAGCCCCTGGCTCCTTTCTTTTACCAGTTCCGTCTATGTGAAGATAAGTTAAAGGTCCTGCTTGACTATAGCTGGCTTCGCTTGGAAGCATGGAGGAAATTATTCCTCTGTGTTGACCCTCGTCTTTGTAGACTGGACACTGGTTCAAGTCCATCTCGTGGGGTCTCCACTGTAGATGAATCTGGTAGAACTACAGCACTGCTTCTAGTAATACATTTTAGTATAGGGCTGGAGAGATGTCTCAGCGGTTAAGAACACTGGTTGTTCTTGCAGAAGACCTGGGTTTCAATCTCAGCACCAACATGGCAGCTACCAACTCTGCAGACCAGAGGTCATGTAGTCTGTAACTCCAGTTCCAGGGGATCCCACAGCCTCTTCTGTCCTTCGAGGGCATTGCATGACACGGGTGCACTTACCTACATGCAGGCAATACACTCATACACATAAAATAAAAGTAATAAATTATAATTTTAAAAGTTTTAGTACAAGTTATAACTTTACTATTGGCCTTAGAGGTGTGGCAGAATGGTTTATGGTAACTCCTGTTAATCTTTTTTCCAGTCAAACTTAATGCTCATATTCTTATTCAACCTGCCTATAGTTTATACATAATCTGTCAACATTCTGTGAAATTCTTCATTTTTCTGAATTGCCCAGTATTTCCATTCCCAGAAATGTGCCTAGAATGTTTTTATTAACTTAAAACAGCAACAGAAAATAAGATGCCCTTATTGAAGCCCAGTGTTTAGGTTCATTAAGTCACAAATGTATAAACAAAGTAATTAGCACTCCTCATCTCAACTGATGAAGTTACAGTAGGAAACAGATGTACAAGGGCTGATATACATGAAACCTCTGTTCTACTTGGATTTGCCAGGCACACAGGACATGTTCTTCTGCTAAACTAGAGATTATTGTTACTACCTCAGTCTTTACTACATCTCAACATAAGACTGTAATTATCTTATTATGGAAACTTGTCAACTTTTCCTTTTGGTTTATGGTTGAAATCTGTGATCAGTATGTCTTTTCTGTAAAGGGCTAGAGATGCTTTAGCATTGTAGCTGAGTCAGCACTAATGTCAGCACAAACTTCAGAAACAGTTTGGTCAGTTGAAGTTGATACAGAGCTGGATGGAGAACTATCAGAACATGTTGAGGGAAAAATAAATAAATTTAAATAATGTTTTCTTGGGCATGGTGATGCATACCTTTAATCCCAGAATTCAGAAGGCAGATGCAGGCAGATTGCTGTGAGATTGAGGCCAGAGGGGTTACATACAAAGTTCCAGGCTAGCATCATATAAATAAACAGGGTACTATATTGTTCAGGCAAGAGCACCCTCCAGCTGAATGCTAACACTGAAGTAAGCATGAACATTTTGCAGCATGTAAGAAGGTCATGCAGACCAGAGGAAAGTGTTTCTTGGGCACTCCCAAACACCAAGTGCCTCTTTCACTGTGGGAATTAAAATGCAGGTTTTAGAATTAGAAATGACTCAGGGAGGGTGCAGGTTAGGAACTAAGCCTCATCAGAAGAGGACAGGGCAGGTCTATCCAATGCATAATATCAGACCAGAGTCTAGAAATAACAATAGCTATGACTAAAGAGGTATACCAGCTTTAACTTCAAAACAAAGTCAGATATTTT